GTCGTTGCATTTTCCTCCATGTGTAGACTGAAAAGATATAGTTTTGTCGCCCAGCTACTGAGCTGATTGCATGACGTGACACTGTGACCCACAGATTTCACTTAAATGTTTTTTCAACTTTGACCAATGCGGTGTTGCGAACTGTAGATTCATAAAATAGTGTATGTCCTGTTGCCACAGAACTGTTGGTGCCTTATGTGATTACAATTAATCGTGTGTGCAACTGCTGATCAGTTTGTAACTGCTGCTGCGGTCCATGATCAGCTTCTAATGTCGGACTATTTGAATTAGCACTTCTGATGGCTGCCTTATGCTTTAATGCTTGTGCATGCTGGTGGATATGCTTGGACTGCAGTCGGTGTTAATTTTTCCACAAAGGACAGTAAGACATTTTGTCTTTTTCATTGGCACAGGAGCAGAGCAACTATGGGGTGACTCGTTTGCTATGAAGCTGAAAAGCACAAATGTCATAGCCTAGCTGTAAACCACAGCACATCATGCCAACTGTTTGTTTATGGGCAAATACAGAAGAAGACTGACTGCTACACCAAAATGAGTGCTTTTAATTGGAGATCAAAGAGGTCATCAGTTAACAAGGACTGAGGGGGGGGGGGAGAGATATGGATAGACCGTTAAAAACAAATTAAAAAAAAAAAATGCAGGATAATTCTGACCACAGCACCTAATGAATACCAAACAGACTACACAAAAGATTTGGAGCTCACACCATAATCACAGTACACCTCAAGAGATGGAAACAGATCCTTCACACAAAACAAGAGCTGTGTGTCATCAAAGAAAAAAAAAAATGTACAGTGCACTATCCATGGTACAATCAGTTCTGAGTCTCTTTGCACAAGAAGAAATAAAAGATCACCAGGGCATTGTAAATACAATTCAGTATAATAAAACAACAACAAGAAAATATATTAGGTGTATTCAAACTAGATATTCAGAACTAGGCACTTTAAGGAAACTAGAAATCTGACCTGAGATGAAACCAACAAACAGTCATTAAAAACATAGGCGCTTTATTAATATCCTACCCCAAACAGGGGAAATCCACAGGTCACGGAACAGTCTAATATTTCAGGGGGTGGTAGATAGGCTTCATGCAGTCGTGGGACCTAGGCTTCATGCAGTCGTGGGACTTAGGCTAAACTCTCTTGTGGGACGTAGGTGGGTTGGGGTTAGGGCTGGTTCTAGATGTTTTGGGGTCGTTAAAAGCATCAGAAAGCCAGGAAACCCAGTTTAAACGCCCTCTAAAACGTTGGACTATCATCTGAGGTTGGAAATTAATAAAGCACCAAAAACATATAAAATTACGTGTGGACTTTCACAAATTTTGTTGTTGCAGAGAGTGACCTAGCCAGCGAGTTATTCATATGCGCTGATTCCTCCAACCCCCGAAAAAATAATAGTTGCCACATTCTGTTTCTGGGCCAGCTGTTTTCAAGTTTGCTTATGATTTTCGTCATAATAGACCGGCTGCAGTCATTTTAACCCATGTCACCGTGTTGACAAAAATTGTTTTTAAAACCGAGATGATATATTCATGTTATTCTCCAGTATGTTTGTCTTTCACTTCTTTTACTGATTAAGTGCCTTCATATATTTCGACACCATTAAGATAAGAAAAAAAAATGTCTTATGGATCCCATGTTGTGTCACTTTTTCCTTCCAGGGATTCCGGAGCAAAAAAGGTTGAGCACCAGACATTAAGCACTGAAGATGTGGAATGATACAATGTAGGGTAGAAAGACCAACCAAACAATTTGTCACAAGAAAAGCCTCAGCTTCTTAACACACACACATTTTTATAAATTACTTATTTAGAACATATTATTATATATACAGTAATCACCACATTATATAGAACATTTAAGTGGTTATGGTTTTGGCATTGTGCATTCATACACTGTGAATGTTCTTCTGGGAAAACTAGTGTATGTGTGTCCACACACACCAATGCTCTGCTTGTGAGACAATTAAAACCACAGCATACATTAGATAACATAACCTTTGACCCGCTAGGGTCGTGGAGGTGTACTGATGGAGGTTTTAACACACAAAACCTGCCATCTTTGTCTTCTGCTTCTTGAACAAGTGTATGATAACTCAAGTCATGTCCAGTTTTTAATGCTTTCATTTCAGGTTCTTCTTCTTTGGCCTCCTCTTTTTTGACTAACCCCCAATTTTAATTGAAGTATAAGTCTTTGCAATTAAATGTTTAACTACGGGCGTGAACCAAGCTAGCTAAGAGAAGTTCCTGATACCCTGCAAAACTGTTTATTTTGCCTTTGACATATTTGTTAGTTTTATGTTCTAAATAACTAATTTGTAAAATTTGTCTATATCATTTATTTTCTAAAGCCTGAGTCACTTTCCCTTTCCACAGTGAGAATCTAACTCTCCCATCCGTATAAGAAAATAGACAATACCATCATGCATGAAACAAATACAACTGCATATCTATGTATTATGTAACAATTTGCTATTAACAAATTAATGAACTATATAAAATGATGACTGGATCTTCCAAAGTACTAGCCCAGAGAAAAATTAAGAATACATGTTCATGTTTTGATGGTTGCTCATTTAAGATCAGAAAAAAAGAAGTTAAATATTTGTACACTTGTTTCTGTGGAGTTTCAATGGTATCATTTAACTCATTAGCTATCAGAGTAACTCATTCTGAACCTAGTAATACATAATTTTCAGATCAATGCTTCTCACTTACGATTTAAAAAACTCATGCCACAAAGAATTTATTGTGCAATTTACTGCCCGACATATTTCGTTGTTTCTCACCAGGTGCATTACTATACACTTTATATTGACATTTACTGAAGAATACACCAAGAGTCATTATAAATTAAAAACACAGGAACAAGCAGTCCTGAGTTACACAAATAAATGGATCACATGGTTAATCTTAGACTTCCATGGTACACTGTGTGGGCTCCAGGCCCCATTGTGGGAAAAACAAGAATAGACCCGCAACCTCCCTAATCAGCATGTTGTAAGAATCAAATTTTTGAGGGCTTTCTTCGAAGTCAGAGTGCATCTGCTTAAGAGGCAAGGGACCAACAATCTGCATACAATTAAGTCAGATCTGTTAAACAGATGTGCACAAAACACTCAGGTTCTGGAACAAGACTAAAGTCCAGAGGGACAAACAACCAGAACTGGGAGTTTACAGCCAATAAACGCGAAGAAGAACAAGAAGACTTTAATAGTGACATGCTGAGTATATCAAGAGACAACATAAAATGCGTTTTTGAGTTAAAATGTTTTCTTTTTTGTGCTTCATTTTATACTGATGTAATTTCTGTAGTAATGCACTTTACAAAATACAGCAAAATATGCCAGGCAATAAATTGTGCAATGTATTGTTTGCGCCCTCATTTACTCACAAACCATCTACTGTTCTAAACTTGTTTGATGTCATCAGGCGGTGCAAGCGGTAGTTCTGCAGCGATCAGATTCCTACGGCTTTAGACACGGAGGTAATGGCACTGATAGATCAGAATTAACACCGAGAACACATCAACTCTACACAGATGGGTCCATGAAGCACGGATCAAGGATGTGGAAAACAAAAAAAAGAGGACAGTGGCGCTTACCCCTTCTCTGTCGGGGATTCTGGTGGGTCTGCCTTCATTCAGGCAAATTAAATCTCTGTTAGTGCTTCCTCAACTGCCTCTCCCTGTTTGTTGAGCGTTGTATTGTCCTATGGCCGACTTCTGGCAGTGAAGTCACCACACACAATGATAGTGGTTGTTAAATGTTGAATGCTGAATTAGGAATTGACACCACAGCATTCGGGACACCCCCAAAAGTGCTCCGTCCCCATCATCAGCAGCAAGCAAAGAGTTAAAAGTCTGATGGTACCAGCAACTGTCTGATTGTATATCAATATCGCCTGTGCCCTGAGAGTCGAGCGCCATTTTCCTCAGACTGTAATGATCTATCTGTGCCTCCACACTGTTTAATTGCTCCCAAAGAGCCCTCACAATATCTAACTTGTCATACATCAGTTCACCACCAAGTGGCGCAGAACTGGAAAGTCTATCTGCCTGCTCATTTCCCAACACACCCGCATATTATCGAGAACATATCCAAAGGATGCTAACTACCCAGGACCTTTGAAGTGATGCTTGATAGTTATGTTTTATAGTAATGTTTGGTAGTGTTTGTCTGCCCGCACATGTCACTTAAAATTGTCTACTTTTCTTTGTCAACTTTATTATTGCAGGTACAGATGTTAATTAGAGTGAAAGTTTTACTTCCGTCATCACAACTGATTCGCAAAACCCTTGAACCTTTGCCAGTTTTATTGCTCAGCAGGTCTTGAATGTTCTGGAACATTCTGTGTCCAGTCTTAAGCTGGTAGAATCCTGGCCTCTGTTTAAAATTCCATTTAAAAAAAAACACATTACTGCTTATTGCTGTATATATTTTGTTGGCAGCCAAGTTAGATGGCTGAACTACTACATTTATTGCTGCATAAACAAATTTAGCAATACTACTACAACTATTTTCTTTCTGATGTCATCATTTCTAATCTTCTCTCTCCAAATGACATCAAGTGCTTTTTCCAGGAATCTCATCCCATTTGCCTTTATTTATTTGTCTTTTCTTCTACGGCTGTCCACGTTGAAAAGCTAAATTTTCTCTTGTAATGTTAGCCAAATTCCCATAATCCACATCTGTATGTTTTCCCATCGTCTGCGTCTGTGGCTTGAGCATTGCAAATATGCTTTGTAATGCCGGGGTGCCGGGTTCGATCCCAGCTTCGGGCCTTGCGCTGGTTTTGACAGTGGTATCGAGAAGCTAACCATTAAGATAGCAATGGCAAACTCGCAAACTTGCCTAGAGAAACCCTAACAGTCAAAAAATGCTGGGGTTGGTTCTGCAACGTCCTGTAAAGGATACGCAGTTATTTCTTTTAATATTTCCCATATCTTGAGTAAATACTGAAACTCATAAAACATTAACTATGACTTGTCTGCCACCTGTGAATCCTTCCATTTCCCATACAACTTCCTAAACTCATCCCAGAGTACTAAACCTATTGTTGTATGAGGACCAAGTCTGAGGTACGATGCTCCCCAACCCTTGTAGAAACCCCACAAGCCTTCGGAACGAAATATCTGATAGAAGCAATTGAGAATCCCTGAATATGTGGCACCCCGGCCAGACGGATTCACCGGCTGGTTGTAAAGTCTGGTAGACACGACATCAAAGGGTGTCATAAAAGCTGTTACAGCAACGCCTCCCACCATGCTGGCAGCAAATGTGGTCAGGATACTGTTTGGTGTGAAGATCTGTAAAAAAAAAAAATTTGATTCTCAAATCCACATTAAAAAAAAAACTGTTCATCCTCAAATCCTCCTGAAAAAAATAATGGGTCCTCTAATTTACATAAACAAATTTTTGACCTGTAATCTTTTCTCCCCGGGAATGCTAACAAAAAATGGATCCTCTAATTTACATAAACAAATTTTTGACCTGTAATCTTTTCTCCCCAGGAATGCTAAAAAAAATGGATCCTCTAATTTACATAAACAAATTTTTGACCTGTAATCTTTTCTCCCCGGGAATGCTAAAAAAAAAATGGGTCACAAACCTGTAGAAATTTCCAGATAAAAATTTAAAATATTTCAAAAAATAAAAATAAAAAACAGACTGCACAGGTCACTAAATAAACTGTTCCAATTGTTTTTTTTTTTTTTAATCTATATGTTAATTTTTTTTAAATGTATAAAGATATAATAAAGGGGTAATCAATAAACATGAATAGTGCTTTATTTTTAATTCACCCCAAACAAAGGAAATTCTGGATTTCCTGGGAAAGTTTAATATTTTAGGGATGTTATGGTACTAGGGGCATTAAACAAAATTTATGGGGTGACTCATGACTTCTATCATTATTTATAAAAAATACTTAAGATTAACTTGGTTTTCAAAAAAGCCATTGGGGCCATAAGGAAATTCTCCTAGATGCCATTTTTAGTTATTATATTCATTTCCTGCCCTCTTGAATTTAAATATGCTTTTCAAGAACAGGTCACTGCAGATATAATTAATCAATTTACAGGGATGTGGCTCAACGTGACTAGATTGAAGCTTCTCGTGGCAAAAGGGTTAAATTAACAAAACTCGGTTACAATGTTTTTTGAAGACTGAAACTAAAAATAGTTAAGCAAGCTCATACATCCCAAACCCTTCTTACATTTAATCAAATATAGCAACTAAGATATGTATTTTTTTCAAATTCTTATTCTTTTTTTCCTCTTCTTTTTCAGCAACCAGTTTTCCATGCAAATCAAAAAAATTAATTGTCTACATGAATCCTGCATTCAAAAGAAGTTTATCATAAATGCTCCGCAGTGTCTCTTCCATTTGCCTCTCACAGAGGCACCTTTGGGTCCTCAAGTCACTTAAGAGTGAGAGCGCTTTTGCAGACAGAATATATTCTGGAGTCGGTAGTCCATTTTGGCAGGTGCTCAGTCAATTTCAGCAGCATATTCTTTATATCATGGACACACGGTTATCTAATTATTTATAAATAAATCAGTTTTCTAATAACTGGAGCATAACTAAAAAAGATGAAGCCTTATTACACACGTTTGAAAACACCAGAGTCTTACAACAAATCTTTGGACCCATCAAAGATGCAAACAGCGGGGAACAGAGTGAGAAGCAATAACAAAAATTCCTAATCTGTTTAAATTAGAATTTATCACTGGCATCATGAGGGCTAAAAAACTGAAACGGCTGGGCCATACTGAGAGAATTTCACATGACAGAGTGGCAAAGTGTTGTGTACAGAAGGGAGTTGAATGGCCATTGACCACAAGGAAGACCAAGAAGAGGGTAGAGAGATAATGTCCAGGCAGACCTACAAAATTGGCGTAACCAAATGGAAAGAGAAAGCAAATCACAGAGAAGAATGGAGGTGGGTGATATCTATGGCAGTGAACTTTAAGGGCTTGGAAAGTTGAAAAAGAAGATTATACTAATTTAAAAAATATTAGAATATTTAGAAATCACCATCAAGCTTTATAGACTGGACAATTATAAACATTACTTATTATTATCTACCAAGACAGAATACTTATCATTATCTACCAAGAAATAGCTCCACAAAACTGGGAAAAGTTAGAAAATAATGAAAACAGGAAGGCTAGAAGAAAAGAAAATAATACGGATACTAACCTTGGTTCCTTCTATGAAGTTTTTGACATATGAAAATGTTGACAACTGGGAGGCAGATCCCACTGTCACTCGCACTGCAGCAGCACTACCCCCTCGCCACAATCCTAAAGTGCCATGTTCTTTATATATACTCTGCAATGCAAACAACAGCCAAAAATGGTGAAAATATGGGGGTGACTGCAGTCAAGCTAATACAACTGCTTCCCCATCTGGCTGCTGAGCTTTTTAGTCAAATTTCTCTGGAATTCCAAACAACAGCCAGTAAAACCATTTGGTGATCTGAATGTACCCTGGCCAGTTTTACACACTGCTCCTACAATTTATGGGAACCACTGTGGCATAATGATGAACAAATTTGCATGCTTGGGATAATTGGAGAGGTACTGTTCCAGAGAAGTTTAAATGTAGAAGAGGTCAAGCAAAGGCAGCATGTTGCAAAGTGATGAATATTTTATGCAATCTTCCTTTCTCAACTAAGATGAGAAAGAGAATTTTCAAGAGCTAAATAAATCCTATCACAACATATGGAGGTGAATCATGGACAGCTGGCCAGTTAGTGACAGAAAAATTATGTGGAAACAGTGAAGATGTGGCTTTATGGACACATGATGAGAACACCCTGGACAGATAAGAAGAATAATGAAGATCTCTTGAAAGAGACTGACTGCAGATGAGAATCTACTGCCCTCATCAGAAGGAAACAATGTATCTTCTTGATCATGTCATAAGTAGGGAAAACTGGAGTACACTTTGATGGTGGGGAAAGCTGGAGGGGAAAAGAGGCGGAGCGAGAGTTTGATAACATGGTATGGAAGATACTGTGTGTCAGAAATGACTGAAAGTACATGGGATAGAAGGTTGTGGGGAGACATGACTACCAATGAAAGGGATTTAAATAGAAAAGAAGATTGTTCTAAATGCTCTTCTAATCTCTTCATTTCTCACATCCTCCATTCTAGTTTTGCGATTTGTGTATCACAGTTAAAGAAATTAATTTGTTGTGCTTCATATTTTTTTAAACTGGCATCTTTCTGTCTTACTAGACAACAGTGTTATACTGTGTAATAGGGAGGGAGACACAGGGATAATAGCCTGTGGAGATGACAAGTGTGACTAGCAAAACCCTCTCGAGTTACCAATTAAGATTAAGGATAAAGTTTCTCCTCTTAAACAGTCTGGCCAATTCTGTAGATATCAAGTGTTGGCCATGCAGCATGATTCCTCTCTTGGAGATATTAGAAATCAGATTTTTTTTTCATGAGTTAACCCTGTCTCACAAAGATGGGCACAAAATAATATTCTGAACTGTATTGGAAGGAACCTGGGAATGCAGGTGAAAAGAAATAAAATACTTCCTTGAGGGAGATTGGGAGGATCACAAATATAATCACCAAGCCAGCAAGCAAGTATATTTGCCTCATTTAGTACAGAACACCTCACCCTGGTTTTGCTGGGGTCTACTGACGTTAAATTATTTATGTACAGAAAATAGAACAGCAGGGTGTGACAATACCTAACATAATCTTTGACACCTTAGGGTCGTGGAGGTGAATAAGTGTATAACTTAGCCCTGTCCATTTCTTAATGTTGTCATTCCAGGTTCTTCTTTGCCCCCCACTTCTTCGACTACCTCCTAATGTTCTTTTAAGCCCAGTCTTCGCAATCAAATCATGTCTCACCAAGTGCCCAAACCAAGCTAGCTGGCAACGTTTCACCACTGCCAAGAGTGGCTCCTGATTTCCTGCAAACTTGTATATTTTGTCTCTGACACATTTATTAGTTTTATTTTCTAAATAACTAATTTGTAAAATGCGTCTGTAACATTTACATTCAAAAGCCTGAATCCTCCTTTCCACTTCCACAGTGAAAGTCCAACTCTCACACCCGAAAATAGACAACACCAGTGATTTGTAAATATTGACCTTGTCTGCGATGATGATTTTGCTCTTCTACATCGTATTCAGCTGGGACATCGCGGCTGTTGCCATATCGAGTCTTGTCTTGATCTCTTTGGTACAGCTGCCATCATTGCATAAATGGGAGCCGAGGTATTTAAAGGTTTCAACTTCTAGTTTTTTTCTCCTTTAAGCTATATGTTGGTAGGTACACAGGCGTGACCCTAGGATACAACCGACTCTCAACACTCAGAAAAAACACATCATCATCATGTGGCAGGTCCACTGCAGTGCTTGGCTCTCTTCAGGGCCTGCCTGAAAAAATCATGTCTCTTGCCTGCACTCCAGTCTCGTGCACTTTCATACCTTAGGTATCTCTTGTATGGAAAGGCAAGAAGGAGATAAAATCTTACTGCTACTGGTACCATTGGCATTGAAACTTTGCACTTGCTGCTGAAGATGAGGACGGAGTGCTTATCAAAATATCTCCTGAACAGAATAGACCAAGCCACAGTTTTTCACTTATGCAATGGACAGTGAAGACTCAACAGATTAGGCATGAACCCAACAGCTCTCTGCCAGTGTCTTTGTGCTGAACAGACTTCAGAACACGTCTTACAAAAATGTCCTCTCTTGGCGGAGCTGCGGAGCAGCATGTGGCAACAACCAGTAGACCTGACAACTAAGCTTTGGGAAAACCTTAGAGACCTCAAGATAACATGCCAGTTTATGGCCCAGAGTGGATTATGCACAAGACCATAGATCACTGAAGAAGAAGAATGTCTCCAGTCCTCTGATGAGGTGCTAAATTAAACTCAATGAACACTATATAGATGTTTTTAACATCTCAATCTGCTCCAGTTGCTACTTAAATTCATTCTCTCTTAAAGTACTACTTTAAGTATTTCTGATTAAAACATGTATATGCCAACTTTCTAGGACAGAAAAAAAAAAATCTAAATTTATCTGGCTGTATTTGAAATTTTTAATTCAAAATTGTAATGAAATATAAGGTATATTTTTCCTCTCAGATGTACTCTACAAATATTTCAGGAAAGCAGACTTAACAATAGATAATAAATGTGACCTTTAGTGCATGCGTCATGGACTCATGTGGATGCTGATGTCCTACAGCAATTTCTTTGTTGGCTTTGGCTTGCAGATGGGTTTTCACCTGGCAAGACAAGTAGAAATTGTTGCCAATGAAGATACAAAAAAAAAGAAAATATGGTTGACTGGTTGCAGTGGAATAATTACTGCAAAAGTATTACTGTTCCACTCACAGCTGTCTCACGCACAGAAACATATTTTCCTATGGTGGAATAATTATTGTGAGAATGTTTCTGTCTCACTCGCAGCACACATTTTCTTCCAGTAGAATAATTACTGCAAAAGTACTATTGTCTCACTCACAGACATATTTTCCTACGGTGGAATAATTAATGTAAGAATGATTCTGTCTTACTTGCAGTTCACATAAATACTTCACGTGGAATAATTTATTTCTCTGTCCTCTCCCTCTCCCCCATACACACATTCATTTTCCTACAATATAGTAATTATCTCTAAAATACATATGAAAGATGCACATTTTCTGACAGGAGAATAATTACTGTTAAACTATCCTGCTAGCCTACTTCTGACTGACACAAAAATGTAGTCCCTCTACAGCAGAAAAATTACCAGCTAGCAAAACACATTGCCCTGCAGTTGTGAAGTTATTATAAGAAGAACATTACAAGGTTCTGATTGCTGGCTCACACCCAACTCATTATTCCAAGATCATATAGTGGAAGGTCAAGATGCGAACCTAATCTATTCAATGACTGAGCTCGTACGGTAAATAACTTGTGAATAACTTCCATTAGTGAGCTCGTACGGTAAATAACTTGCGAATAACTTCCATGAGTAAGCTCGTACGGTAAATGACTTGTGAATAACTTCCATGACTGAGCTTGTACGGTAAATAACTTGTGAATAACTTCCATGAGTAAGCTCGTACGGTAAATAACTTGTGAATAACTTCCATGACTGAGCTCGTACGGTAAATAATTTGTGAATAACTTCCATGAGTAAGCTCGTACGGTAAATAACTTGTGAATAACTTCCATGAGTGAGCTTGTACGGTAAATAACTTGTGAATAACTTCCATGACTGAGCTCGTACGGTAAATAATTTGTGAATAACTTCCATGACTGAGGTTGTACGGTAAATAACTTGTGAATAACTTCAATGAGTGAGCTTGTACAGTAAATAACTTGTGAATAACTTCCATGATTGAGTTCGTACGGTAAATAACTTGTGAATAACTTCCATGACTGAGGTTGTAAGGTAAATAACTTGTGAATAACTTCCATGAGTGAGCTCGTACGGTAAATAACTTGTGAATAACTTCCTTGATTGAGTTCGTACAGTAAATAACTTGTGAATAACTTCCATGAGTGAGCTCGTACGGTAAATAACTTGTGAATAACTTCCATTAGTGAGCTCATATAGAGAATAATTTGTATCCAGAAACTATTTTTCCCATTAATAGTATTACTTGCCAGGATTTTACCTAGTATCCATTTTTGGCTGGATCATTCTGGAAGCCAGGGTCACTCTGAAGAAAAATAATGAGACCCATAGATGTGAAACCCCGACTTTCGAACCCACAAGTGAGCATCTAAAAGCTATGGCTGCCATAATAACTACGTGTATTTACTAAAATAACTGTATCAAGCTTAACAACCAGGATTTCATGAGTTTCACTAAAATAACAATTACATCTAGGTTACCAAATTTAACATCAAATAGAAAGGGCTTCAAGTCAAAGCTCAAATAGAATAATTATGTGTACATACTAAAATTACATCTAGTTTATCAAACTTGTCGGTGTCTGTGGCTTAGGCATAGTGAACATGGTTTGCAATTCCGAGATACCTGGTACCATTCCAGCTGTGGACAATCTGGCGGCAGACTGCTTTGTGCTGATTCTGACAATGGTATTGAGAACTGACTGTGTCAGAGGCAACGGCAAACTACTGAAAGTAAAATTGCTTTAAGAATCCACAAACAGAAAACAAATGCTGGGGTTGGTTCTGCAACGTCCTATACATAATAGGTAACTAACTTTTTACCATTTTACCAGCCTAAATAGATAATAGCTAAATTACAATTAGTTTGCCAAACCTAACCCTTTTGCCAGGAGAGGCTGCAAAACCAACACTTCGGGCTGGGACCAATTTCCTGACTTGTCTGAGGTGACAGAGACGCATAATTAATGCTGTTGGCCATTTTTCAACCTATGCAAATGTTTGGGATGTCAGGATATGAATATCTTCTTCTTCTTCTTCTCTTCCACCATTTACCTCAGCGAGGTGTTGGGGGTGGGGGGGGTGGGAGGGGGAGATGTAAGGATCGTTTGTGCGCTTTTTCCAATGCATTGTACAAGGTGGTATTCATTTCTGTTAGGTTGCTCCTGATGATGTCGCTCCATATCTTGCGTGGTCTTCCCCTTGCTCTGTGTTCATTATATTTCTTCAGCATGGCTCTCTGTGGCAGTTGGTACCAGGGCATTCTTGTCAGGTGGTCAAACCATCTCATTTGTTGTTCTTTAATGAATTGTATGACTGGATTTAAATATATTAACTCAAAATATCAAAAAAGGGGTGGGGATTTCACCTAAAAATAATTTTTTAAAGCCAAGTTGACATCAAATGGCCCTGAGGAATGTATCCCATGTAACTCTTCACCCTGTTTGTGTTGAACGATTACTTCTTTATATACATTTAATTGTTTTTCATGTACATAAATACATTTTTCACGAATTTATTAGGGACCCTTGTAAGACAGTTGTTTTGCTTAAGGATTTTTTTTCCTGCAATTTCAACGCGATGAAGACCTATTTAAAGAAACAAAATTCCAGAGAGGATAAATGGCAACATGCATTTTACTAAAATAACCACAACTGTTTACCAAATAGAAAGGACTGCCAATCACAGCTCCAATGCAACCAGCAAATGCTCCTGCTGCTACACTGCGAATAAAACTGTGGTTGCCATTTTTGTCCTTGGTTAGGCCGAGGTTGACCTGTACCTGTCAATTATTAAAATACAGCTATGAACTCAGACATGGACCTCACATGTCTTCAAAACCAATGTTTAGCCGATAAAGTAAATTTATTAGATACTGTTACGGACGTCATTCCTGTGAGATGAGATGAAAGAGTCAAGCCATCAACATGACCTCTGAGTCGAGAATATGACACAGGTTTTAGGAACAACACCCTGCACCACATTCGCTGAGAAGCAGAATATTGGACAGATTGGCCATTTAGTTTCTGTAAATTTAGCCACATCAACTACTAACACAGGGTACTACACTTAAAAGATCTGATGTGACAGCAAGGGAGTGCCCAAGGAAAGAATGTGTTTAAAGACAATGTATACCCTCACAACGATGAGAAGGAGGCAAACCAAGTTCTTTGGCCATGTGATGAGAAAAGGATCACTGGAAAATATTGTGACGACTGGAAAGATCACTGGTAGAAGAGACAGAGGTAGACGAGGTAGATGATGGTGAATGGCTTAAGACAGTGGCATGGAGGAATATCATCAGCGGAATTGATCCAGAACATCAAAGACCGAGATCTGTGGAGATGTACGAATGCCTATACCAGCTGGCAAAGCCCTTGATGATGATAATGATGATGATATACCCTCATAGAATGATAATGACAAGAGTCATCCATTAAGTTATAGACCCCGGGCTGTCGCCCCCCCCCCCCCCCCCCCCCCCCCCCCCCCCCCCCCAGCAGAATTTGATAAGGATGATAAATGTAATTTTACTGGTCTTGCTGGTGAAGTATCTCTTCATTGCACACACTGACATCTCCAAAAGTACCTCAGTCTCCTGCTTAACTCATTAAACATACATAGGAGGTTCTGAATGCAGTGCAAGAACTGTGAGTCAGTGGACAACAGAGATACACTTCTTCTTCTTCTTCTTCTTCTTTCGTTCGTCTGAAATAAGTTGTCTAAATCAGCAGTTTTGTCTCTTGTATAAATTTCACTGTCGTTGTTAATTCATTCAGTGGTCCATAGAGTTTACGTTCCACTGTTGTTCTTTCTGACCAAAAGGTTTGCCTTAATGTGTCAAAATCGGTGCAGTCCTGGAGTACATGCTCTGCTGTCTGGGGCACATTTCCACAGGTGCACATGGCTGATACACCTATCTTGAATTTTGTGTGAGATACACTAACAATTCAGTGTGACTTCTTTCTTTATACACTTAGTCTTAGTCTTTCCTCTAGACCCTAGGCAGCACACAGGGAAGAGGTTACAGCTCTAAATGTCTGGTGGTTCACTGCCTCCTGTTTTACATCTTGGATGTTCATTAGGCCCATGGATGAGCCTTCCCTGATCATGGTTCTATGCAGGGTCTCTCTAGGTCTTTCCTGTTTTCTATTCCCTTCCAGTGTCCAAATGAGAGCGTGATGGGGGGAGTCTTGTTTTATCCATTCTGTGTGCATGGCCAATGTAGTTCCAGCTGCGCTTTCTTACAAAATTGGATACTCTATCTTGCTAGGTCTCTTGTCTTATTTGTGTATTGGATCTGAAATCTGTTCCGTGGAGATTTAGTATTTGTCTAAGACATTTGTTTCTCAAAATTGTCAAATTATTTAGAATCTAGGTCTACTGTTGCTTTCCAACTCTTGCATTCATGAGTTAGTACTGGAATCACACAATAGTTGAAGATTATATAATGACAGATATAAAAGTGTGGTCTATTATTATATACCATTCATTGTCAATACAAGTATCTTTTATTATGTGCAGACCTACTATAACTAACTGGAAAAAGAAAACCAGTCAAAGAGTTGAATGGAGGTGGGTGATATCTGCAACAATGAGGGAATGGAAGGCTGAAGGAGAAAAAATACAATTATTTATTATTCTCTGACATTTGCCTAGCTTTTGCTAAACTCTGAATGCTGGAAATGCCAGACAAACATCTAATATTTAAGCTACAAGGCTGTAACTGTTAGTGTAAAAACCTGGTGACTTTGTTGTTATTGACTTGTGAACAACTTGAAGAATTTGGACCAGATGGTGACTTGATCTTCATTCTGGTAGCCAAGCCAAATTCTAATTTCCAGCATGCTGCTGAGCTCTTCAGATACTGTGTGCAGCCATGGGTGAACTATATATACCATCATTGTTGGGAATTGCTGTCACTTTCTTAGTCTTGCAGAATGCAAACTTCGAGAGCTTGTCACTGAATGACTTAACAAACACCCACATTTAATGAACAACAACCCTTCGGTGGAAGCAGCCCTACCTGGAATGCTCCAAGTCTAGTCCCATTCATAAAAAACTGGTACCATAAAGCAGGGACAAGTCCATTCTGAAGAGCCAGCAGCCCATCTGTTCGAGCAATGGTTATGAATGCACGAAAAGCATTCTGATAATGAATCTAATAAGAGGAAAGAAGTAGTCACACATTAGTTCCTGGCAAAGATGATGTAACAAGAATCTGAGCACAGCGCATGAACTCCCTTTCACCAGTGATTACCCAACCGGTGAACACCAGAATCATACATGCTATAAACGCTTTTAGTCGGTTTGGAGAAACTGTGGGTAATCTTAAATTTTATCTTGGAAGTGGCTTTTCCAGGCATGCTCTTTTCAATTTTCAATTATAAATGACTTATAATGAGTGCAATTTGACTGAACTGAAATGATCTTGACCTAGTTTCAAACATACACTGCAGCCAATGAAGTCAAACTTCCATGTTTGATGAGAAATACAGATAACACCTCAACATCTTCCCAGTATCCTGAGAGACAAGCATCACATTTGGTTATGAAATTCACAGGTCAGTGTGACTGATCATAGCATACATGATTGTTCCTCTAGACAGCTTTCATCTAAGGCAGTGTGACTGATCATAGCATTCATGATTGTTCCTCTAGACAGGTTTCATCCAAGGCAGTGTGACTGATCATAGCAAACATGATTGTTCCTCTAGACAGGTTTTATTCAAGGCAGTATGACTGATTGTAGCACACATGCTTGTTCCTCTAGACAGCTTTCATCCAAGGCAGTGTGACTGATTGTAGCACACATGTTTGTTTCTCTAGAAAGCTTTCATCCAAGGCAGTGTGACTGATTGTAGCACACATGTTTGTTTCTCTAGACAGCTTTCATCCAAGGCAGTGTGACTGATTGTAGCACACATGTTTGTTCCTCTAGACAGCTTTCATCCAAGGCAGTGTGACTGATTGTAGCACACATGTTTGTTCCTCTAGACAGCTTTCATCCAAGGCAGTGTGCTCTATCTTGGATAGATTTCTTTTTTCTATACATTTTGCCAGAAGAGCGGTCTTACAGCCTACTTTTTGTGGCTACCAACTGCTATTTGATAATTAATATGCACAACTTGTTAATCAGTTATATATCAACCAAAAAAACCCAACATAAACAAGAAATAGATATTGTCAGCTTCACACACACACACAAAAACAAAACACATACACAATCAAAAAATGGACACTGTGGCTATGAAGTCATCAGCATATGACAAATGTGGCTTCTGGGGCCCTGTTGTGTGGAAAACAAGAATAGACTCTACCACCTCCAATCATGCCATAAAAGTTGACTTAATGGGGGCTTCCTTTGAAGTCAGACTGCATCTGCCTGAGAGGCAATGAACCAAAAGTCTGCATACAAATAAGCCAGATCTGTAAAATGGATGTGCACACAACACTCAGCTTCTGGAACAAGACTAAAGTCTGCTAGTGGATGAACAGCGAGAACTTTTTGTTGGCGTTTACAGACAGTAAACATGAAGAAAAAAATTATAGGACTCAAATGAACACTGATACAATTACATAAAAAATATATATAAAAAATTATTCCACTTTTCAGTAAAAAATTTAAGACAGATCAAAGGCAAGCTGCACCTCTGTAACACAATAATATTCAGTTAATTATAACAACTTTAACCCAATCCTGCATATTTCCAGTACATATCAAAGAAAGACTGACAAAAATCTGACTTACTGCATACTGCCCATGAGTGCGTAGCTCCCCTTGCAACTGCATGCGTGTTTTCACCACTTCGAGTGGATTCGTAAACAGACATGCCCCAGAAGTTGCCAGGCCACCAATCAGAAATTCTACACCGCCATATCCATGTGCTGCCATCGGTTGGGCTCCGTTCCTTCAAGGAAGCACATATGATACTGTTTAAAAAAAAAATTTACTCACTTACAGTCGACTGGATTTTGCAGCATAAGTTTTGTGTTGGATGAGTTACTTTGTCACACTTCAAACCTCCCTTACACAGGGGCTGTTTGGGGGGTGGGGGTGGGGGGGAGTGGAATTAGGTAGGTATACTATGTGTTCGTTGGCACCTGTGGCTCAGGCATTGTGAATGCGCTTAATATTGCCAGGGTGCTGGGTTCGATGCCAGTTGTGGACTGTTTGAGTTTGTCTTGTGATGGTTTCGACACTGGTACTAAGAGCTGACTGTTCAAAAGCAATGGCAAACTACTAAACGTAAATTTGTCTAGTAAAACCACAACAGCTAAACAATGCTGGAGTTGGTTCTGCAATGTCCTGTAAATGATACGCAACTAACTTTAACTATGAGTTCAGAGGAAACAAGCCACACTGTCATCTCAAGAAACTCAGAGATACCAGGACAGAAAGAAAATAACAGCTTTTAAACTTCCTGTTCTTCTTCGCATTCACCAGCTGTAAACTCTGGCGGAAAGTTCTGGTTGTTCATCCACTTCTGGACTGCAGTTGTGTTCCAGAACCTGAGTGTTGCGTGTGCATCCGCCTTACAGATCTGACTCATTTGTAAGCAGACTGCTGGTTCCCTGCCTCTCAGGCAGATGCTTTCCGACTTTGAAGGAAGCTCCCAATTAGTAGACTCTTACGACATGCTTTTGGGTAGACAGTGGGTCTATTCTTGTTTTCCCCACAATAGGGCCCCGGAACCCACACAGGAAGCTTTTGAACTGAAATGCCACAGAAGGCTAACTCGGTGAACAAATGCCCAATGAAGTCAGATGTGTCAACTTGACCGCCTAAATATTGCAGATATGCTGTAAACAGGCACAATTCAGTTACATCACTTGAAAAGAAGAACTTAAATTCTATAGAAAGCTTAGAATACCCCGGACCAAGAAAGAAGAAATAACAACATCTTAACAGATCTGAACATCAAGGAAGATTGCCTAGTAAACAGTATCCTGAAATATTGTGGCCAAATAAAGTGTCACAGTGGACTGAAATAAATAGTAGCAGAAGACATAGTGCCAGGAAAGAGGGGCAGGGAATGGCCAGCACAAAGATGAGCGCAGGATATAAGTGACACCTTGAGTAAGAAAGTGCACGAGGTGGGCGATCTGGCGAGAGATCAAGTTTTCTTCAGGCAGGTTGTGGAGAGTGCTATTTTCAGTAAAGGGCCTGCTATATGATGATGATGATGATGTGTGTGTTGCTTTTTAAATTATGAGTTTTAAAAGCTGGTTTTTTTTTAGTTTAACAATTCATTTACAATCCAACAGTAAGATTGTTAAAAAAATTAGAAAAACCCTTGAGTCATATATAGAATGTTTTAAAAATATGAGCAGAAAGACAAACTACAAACACAAGGTTTGGGGACAATTACTGACTGGAAGGTTTGTTCTTGTCCCCCACCTCAACAGCTTAGAAATGTGATGCCCCTCCCCCCGTGCATGTGCCTACCATCAAACATATGCCAAGTTTACTGCCTAAATTATCATAAGTGTGATTACAATAATATCTTACCGATACGTCTGACATCATCTACCAGTTACAAGAAGAAGAATTTGTCATGCATGCTTGTGGCTTTGTCTGTACACTCATGGCATGACTTGCAAGTGTTTGAAAGGTCAAGGTACAGAGAGTGTAAAAGACTATTATGACACTGTACAGAGGTACTTCTTCTATACATCCTCTTTCACTGTATCACTGGCATATTGGATCTCTGGCATTTCATGACCACTGATATTTAGGGCATCATACTGCTCCCTGATTGTATCATCTCTGATATTTCATGACCACTGATATTTAGGGCATCATACTGCTCCCTGATTGTATCATCTCTGATATTTCATGACCACTGATATTTAGGGCATCATACTGCTCCCTGGTTGTATCATCTCTGACATTTCATGACCACTGACATTTAGGGCATCATACTGCTCCCTGATTGTATCATCTCTGACATTTCATGACCACTGATATTTAGGGCATCATAGTGCTCCCTGATTGTATCATCTCTGATATTTCATGACCGCTGATATTTAGGGCATCATACTGCTCCCTGGTTGTATCATCTCTGACATTTCATGACCACTGATATTTAGGGCATCATACTGCTCCCTGGTTGTATCATCTCTGACATTTCATGACCACTGATATTTAGGGCATCATACTGCTCCCTGGTTGTATCATCTCTGATATTTCATGACCACTGATATTTAGGGCATCATATTGCTCCCTGGTTGTATCATCTCTGATATTTCATGACCACTGATATTTAGGGCATCATACTGCTCCCTGGTTGTATCATCTCTGATATTTCATGACCACTGATATTTAGGGCATCATACTGCTCCCTGGTTGTATCATCTCTGGCATTTCATGACCACTGATATTTAGGGCATCATACTGCTCCCTGGTTGTATCATCTCTGATATTTCATGACCACTGATATTTAGGGCATCATACTGCTCCCTGGTTGTATCATCTCTGATATTTCATGACCACTGATATTTAGGGCATCATACTGCTCCCTGGTTGTATCATCTCTGATATTTCATGACCACTGATATTTAGGGCATCATACTGCTCCCTGGTTGTATCATCTCTGATATTTCATGACCACTGATATTTAGGGCATCATACTGCTCCCTGATTGTATCATCTCTGACATTTCATGACCACTGACATTTAGGGCATTATACTGCTCCCTGATTGTATCATCTCTGACATTTCATGACCACTGATATTTAGGGCATCATACTGCTCCCTGGTTGTATCATCTCTGACATTTCATGACCACTGACATTTAGGGCATTATACTGCTCCCTGGTTGTATCATCTCTGACATTTTTCATTATATTTTGGTGTACAGGTTAAACAAATAGGGTGACAGCACACAACCCTAAAGGACTCCTTGCTTGATGTCAAACCAATCTGATGTCTCACCATCTATTCTAACCGCTGCTTGTTGGTCTGGATAGAGCATTGTTATGAGGTGTACTACATGTGCTAGAAAGTCCTTATTCCTCATGATTTGCTAAAGTTTCTGATGTTGTACAGACAAAGGCCTTTGAATAATTCACAAAACTTGAAAATAGTTTTACATTAAATTCTCTAGACTTCTCTATTATCAAACACATGTTGAGAATGTGACCTCTTGTTCCTCTTTCTTGTCTAAATTCAGCATGAACCACATTAATCTCATCTTCCATTTTTTATGAAGTATTCCCATTATGATTTTTAGTAGAATTTTACTTGCAGGACCTATCAGGGCTACGGTTGTATAGTTGGTGCATAATTTCACCTTTTTTAGTACTGGAATGAAGATAGTTCTCGTCCAATCATTTGGACATATACCATATTTTCTTACATAATGCATGACAGATTTGTATGCTTTCTTCCCCTCCCACTTTAATTAGTTCATCTGGTATCTCATCACATCCTGGTGATTTACCATTCTTCAGGTTCTTTACTGTCCATGCAATTTCATCTAATGAAAGTTCACCTTCTGCTAGCCCTAAATATTTACAGACTGACAACCACTGAAGGACAGAATGTTGTAAAACACTGTTAAAATGCTGTTCAGATGTGCAGACAGCGTACAAGGAAAGAAGTTGTTGGTTTTTCTCCACTATTTGCTAGCCCCAAATATTTAGAGACTGAGAAGTAATGAGTCATAGAATGCTGTAATAAACTTTCAAGACGCTATGCAGACGTCACATCATCATGTGTCATGCTGGTAAGTGCAGGGTATCATGTTTTGCCATCTTATATGGTCACCAGAATCACGGATCAGGCAAATGTGCTGAGGCGTAAAAGGAAAGAAGTTCCTTTTTCTTCTACACCTTTTGCTAGCCCCAAATATTTATAGGCTGACAGGCACTGAATGAGAGCAGGTGGTCAATATGAAACCAATCACTTTTGCTTCTTAGGACATTTCCTGGAACCCAACTTAGGCTGGGTCAACCTGGCAGACTAGGTCAGTTCAAAAACAAACAAACAAACTGGATGGGAAATCAAACACAAGACAAGGACTGCAGCCAGAAAAAAAAAAAACGTATGTTAAGCTAATGATAGCAACAATGGTAGCAACAAATCAGAAGGCATTATGGTAAATAACAGTTATAGTTGCACAAAATAAAAACAAAAAAATAATCCTTAGCTTGAAAATAATAAAAAGACAGAAGAAATTGCAAAATCAAATTAAACAGACCATTCCTAAATATACAATCAACTCTTTCATCATAACCAGCTTGTGATTACTTCTAACTTCTATCAGGAGAAGTTCTAGTTTAAAGAAGGCAATGTTTGAGTCTTACAAAAATAAAAAAATAAAAAACAATACATCATCTTATACACGGAAAAATACTGTATATTTGGGCGACCCACTTGACATATGATGCATTGCATAGTAACACTAATGTTAAAAGTCTACAGTATTAATTTAAGGAAAGCACAGAATTACTACTTTGTGGGTATACGGATAACATCAGACGGAAAGTGTAGCATAGGAAACAGGAAGTAATTTTGTTTGGCCAGAGTATGAGGAGAGAAAAACTGAAGAATGTCGTGACAACTGGACAGATTTATGAAAAGAGCGGCAGTGGAAGACAATGAGATGATTTTTAACAGTGTTTTGCTTCCCCGTGTGGGTCCCAGGGCCCCATTGTGGGGAAAACAAGAATAGACCCACTGCCTCCCCAAAAGCATGTGGTAGGAGTTGACTAATTGGGGAGCTTCCTTCGAAGTCGGAGTGCATCTGCCGGAGAGGAAAAGAACCAACAGTCTGTATTCAAGAGAATGAGGTCTGTAAAACTGATGCACACACAAACACTCAGGTTCTGGAGCAGGACTGCAGTTCAGTAGTGGACGAGCAACCAGAACTTTCCGCCAGAGTGTACAAC